TTTTTTTTTTTGAATGGATTAGCCCATCTAAGGTCCAAAGTAGAGTAGCCAGGAAAAGCTTTTTTGCTTTCCTGAGTTTCCTCTTTAGGAAAGTTATCCCTTCAGGACAGAAGGGCGGGAAGGAGAGAGCAGAATTGAGAAGAGGGAGAAAAGCGAAGCGAGGTGTGTTTCCTGTCCCCCATGGCACAGCAAAGGGGTTGGGGAACCCCTTTGTGAATTTAAGGGTGCGAAATTCAGACGGAAAGAAAGTCAGATGTTCCATTTGTTACGCCCAATTAGTTTTTCAGAACTATTTTTAATCACAAGGTGATTGTTTACAAATGTCATTCTGTCGATACCGGTCTTTTGCTGTTCCTTACTCCTAAGCGTCTTAATTTACTCTTTATTATAGCGATCTAAACTCAGGAGCAATGAAAAGAGACCAAATGAGCACAGCCGCAAGGTTGACTTCTTCTCTGTAAACCTCTCTCCCCCACCTTTCCCCCCTTCCTTCCTCTCTCCGTCTCCCTCCCTCCCTCCCTCCCTCCCTCTCTCCCTCCCTCCCTCCCCCTATTCTGCCCTTCTGATCCTTTGTTGGTGTGTCAGTCCGTCCGTCCGTCCGTCCGTCCGTCCACCCATCTCTCTCTCTCTCTCTCTCTCTCTCTCTCTCTCTCTCTCTCTCTCTCTCTCTCTCTCTCTCTCTCCATATGTGTGTGAGTGTGTGTGTGGTGTGTTTGCCACCGAGAAAGTAGTGAAGCGGAGGACATTCTCTCTCGCTCAAAGCCCTGCTGTCTTCCTTCCCTTCACCCTCTTATCTCCGGTTCTTCGTATGTTCTTCTTATGGCTTTTCTTACTTTTCTATGATGTCAGTCTTCCTTTTGTTCTTCCCAACTCTTTTACATTGCCCTTCTTCTGTATTGCTCAACCTGCCTCTCCTCTCCTCTTATCTTATCGACCTCGCTTTGTGTGTTCTTGCGTCTTGTTGTGCGCATCTTTCATGGTTCCTTCTGTTGTGCATTGAAATCCAGGAGTCCTTTGGTTTTCTTAACATGGCCATTTTACTATCATTTGTTTTTATGTTCTTTTTTTTCTTTCCGTAAAGATGGTGTATTGGTCGTTCTTGCCACATGCATTGCTGTCGTCATTGTTAGAACGCCTTCACTCGAATGCGGCATCTGGCTATGATACTGTATTTAAGGTAACTTTCAGTCTAGACACAGCCTCATACAGCTGTTATGAGCCTTATGACTGGGCATTCTATTTGGGTGTAGGCGGTAGTCAGTGATGAACAATATTCATTCATTTTTGTCAGAGCTACTTCTTCTGCCGAGCATCTCTTTTTTTTTTTTTTTTTTTTTTTTTTTCCACAAATGTTCCAATCTATTCGTCCAGTCTCATCTCTGAACGGCCCCTACGTATTAGCAAGGACCCCTCGTGGATCAGAGATGGACATTAATTCCACACCCAGTCATGATTGTGGTTGTAAGGAACGCACACAAATTGCCTTCCTGCTGTGTAGCACACCGAACATGTTTGGCGCCCCACATGTTCGGACGCTCAGCTGAGCAGGAACCGAACATGTTCGGCCGAACGCAAATCTGGGGGCTGCCAAACGCGTCCTCGTGTGTGGGGTGTGTGTGTGTGTGTGTGTGTGTGTGTGTGTGTGTGTGTGTGTTGAGGAGTGATGAGCAATGCCCCACGGCCCCAACCCCTATATATATTTAAAAAAAATAAAAATGTTCGGGCTCGGTCGATTTTGGGCCACGTTCGGGCTTGGTACCAAGCGTTTGGGCTCGGTCACCGAGCCCGAACGGAATGCTACGCAGCCTTCCTGTCCAAATACAGCCATGATGAGGAGCCATTACGTTTGGGGGGAAGAAGGTAGCAGTTGCTTTATATTATGGGCCTCGCTCCACTCGTTGGACACTCAACACGTCTCTGGACTGTTTATGGACCAGTTACGTTCCAATTGATCGAACATTTCAAATGCATTGAGACTGTTTCCACCTCCGGATGCATTTAGGATGTCGTGCAGTGGAGCAAGGCCCGATGTTGCATCATCGAATGGTTGAGACGAGATGTTGACTTTGATTTATTAATTTAGTAGGCTTTTAAAAAAAAAGAAAAGGCTTCTGGCAGCGCCTGGCCAGGGCCTGCGCAACCGTGCCCGAGCAGCCTGCACGGGTGAGCGACTGCACGGGTCCTTTTTGTAAGCTGTTTCTCTTGGGTGGGGGGCTGGGGGGGAGGGAGGGCGGCGTGGCGTGCCTCTGCTGCGCTTGCAAAGATCTGCCTTTTTTTTTTTTTTT